AGAGAGAGAGAGAGAGAGAGAGAGAGAGTGAGTGAGCCAGAGCCAGAGCCAGAGCCTGTGAAGGAAACGTTGGCGGAGGCGTTGGCTGTGCGCAGGCGAAGGTGAAGGCGACGACGAACCTCTAACCTTATACGCCATATGGGCGCGGCCCGAGTCCCCGTCCCTCCAGCTCAGCTTCTCGAAATTATCGAAGGAAGAAGAGCCGAATTAGAGGCGGAGAGGTGGGCGGTCGGGACTACTCGCCGCGTTCTCGCTCATTTTCCAATCGTCGCCCAATGAATAATGCAGTGGCATCCTTGCCAGCAACATCGTAGGCGCGGATGCGCAGCTCGCGTGCGTCTATCCCCCGCGCGCTAATGATAGACGCGGAGGGACGGGCCGCGCGCGCCTAACGCGTGCCGAAGCACTTTACGCCGAATGATCGGGAGTCAGGAGCTTCGTGATTAACGGGCTCTCGGGCGGAGTGAGGACGATCCTTGACGTCGAGTAGATAGCACGCAAGCACCGAGCCTCCGTAGAACCAGAGCAGAGAAAAGAAGCAAAAGCAGATACTTTCCGCACCTCCTTTCGATCTCTCAATTTGTCACCTACAAGTCCAGAGCCATTAAATCAATGCCTTGGAAACACTGATTTTTCACAAATTTAACCTTAGTCTATTTCACCTCGAGTTGCGCAAAGCTCGGATCATAGATTCGTATTTAAGATAGATATAGGGGGGGGGGGGGAGAGAGAAAGAGAGTGAGAGAGACAATGAGAGAGGAGCGAAGAAGATTGGAGGGGGATGAAAAAAGAGCGTAAAGCAAAGGGATACGTAGAAAAATTATGTGCAAATCCTCGTTTTGGAATTCGTCACGTCTCTGTCCCCTTTAGGCTCGACTGTAGGCGTGCGGGATGACGTCACCGAGTCGCACATCCGTGAACTCTCGGCACAAGGGACACGCAAGACTGACAAAGGCGGCGCGGTTCAACCACGACGCGCACTACATTCTAAGAGGACAAGGTGTGAAATGTCGTAATGAGGCGTTAAAATGAGTAATGTGCGTGCCTGCGGCGGACTGCCTGACTTCCATGTCCTCTATGCTATCTGGTTTGCTAGGATGACAGGGAGGGAAGAAGGGAAGGAGTGAGAGAAAGAGAGCAGGGGAGAAGACTCTTTGTAAGTGCAAAGATACAACACAAAAGCAAATATATTATATGATAAATTACGAACTCCCACGGATTTCGCTCGCGGCATTGGCGTCGCTGCTGTCGCAAATTAAAAATTCGTAGTTCGAGAGGAATAAAATAAGTATTTACGCACGTAACCTGGTACCATTATTATCGTTGATTCATTAACTGTCAATTGATAACGGATAATATCGATAACATGACCAAGTGCTGCTGACGTATCATTTGCTTTTCAATCTTCCGTAGTACGAATCGGGCGATTTAGTCGACGATCGCGACAACTAGATCCGGGAGGACTGAGAATCGAGAGCTGAATAATATTCACCTGACACCGGCAACTTCTTATCGTCTCTCAGACGGCGGTTTTACGCATGCGTGACTACGATGATTGCCGTAGAACATAACACTGTAACTTTCCACGGTGGGGCCGGCCAAGGCAAGATATTGTATTTATGATCACAGATCTTCTATTGAGAGGCCGTGTACCGGCACCCAAGTATTTTCAATTATCTCAAAATCAAAATCCGTTAACTCGAATTAAAGTATTATATGGAGTTAAACAGTTTTACAGAAATTGAGAAAAATGATATTTTATATTGTGCATAATCATGGAAGAATAAAATTAACCATTCCTTAATGTTTATGAAAAAGTTTGTCATAAATGTCTCATATACTATTATGTATATGTATTTACAGTTACTTTTTTACATTGGAAAAAAAGGAGAACAAATGCTTTATGAAAACTTTTTTCTTAACCCTTAATAATCCATTAGGTACTAAAATTGGTCGATAATACATTGGCTAATAATAGTCATAACATTTCAAATTAGAAAATATAATAAATCACGTTTTATTTTCCTTCTTTATATGTCGATGTAAAAGAGCAGATTCCAGTGTTGACAGTACTGTCATTACGACCGATTCCTTTTTATTGACAGAGATTTCACTTTAATGAATGTATGTGTCCGGTATCGAGTTTACGTCGACATATGGCAGCTTGGGTAGCGTTGCTCAATTTCCCTTTAAAAAAACTTTTAAAAAACTTTTGAAGAAAAAAAAATTCCACCTTTCAAGCGACCGATGAGTAAGCGAGGAGTCTATGAAGCAATGAAGTGATCCATAGGAAGCAATAATTCTCAGAAGATAAGAAAAATTATTGAGTGTACAAACTATTCAAATAGCTTGCGATGCAAGGAGCACCACCCCGTGGCTGTTGTCTCTCACGGATGTTTGTGCATTTGCCGAAGGAAACAAAGAAGGAGGGGGGAGGGGAGACTCGCATGCAGACATTTTCAATCTCTCTCTCTCTCTCTCTCTCTCTCTCTATCTCTCCCTCTCTCTCTTCCCCTTCGAGACTCTATCATTGTTTCGCGTCTCCCCAGTACGAGCAACAGCTGCTCCACACGACAAGATCCACGACATGTGAGCGTCTGTGTAGTCGCGCCTTTTACGGCCTTCGTCTCGGAAGTGAAGGTCGTCACACGACGAAAGTACGATGATATTGTCGTATGCCTCGTACCTTCTTAACGGGACAACTGAACGACAGTCAGCCTTTTCTTAACGAGACATTAAATTCATCTTCTCGTGCGTCGCTCTTTCATGCGGCTCTCGCGAATCTCTTACATTTATATCAATACCCTTGCGCATTTAGATTCTCGTGCCGCGTGTCCTTGCTCTATAATATCGTGGCTTTCATTTAATGATCGGTGCATGAAAATACTGCAAATGCCGAATCCTCTTGAAATCTCGGATACGTAAACCTCTCGTAAAAATCTTGCAAGCTGTCCCTGCTTTATGAGCATTTGTAATTTCGCATGTGTCAATCTTATTGTCGCGTAGCTCGTTCAATGCATGGACAGCGATGGACAGCGAAGCGTTTCCCAGACCCGAGTTGTCGGGAAGCCCAATTAAACTTTTGTCCCTCCGTCCGCCGAAGCTCCAAAAGTAATATCTCTCTCAAGGCAATATTTAATTCATACTTGCTGCCGGTGCTTCAGCCAAGGTCTTACTTTACGTGTATGTAAAGACGTCCGCGCCGAGTTTTCCTCTTGCCCCCCCCCCCCATAATCCTCTCTATTGCCATCCCTCACAGAGACATACAACTCTTTTCTTTTAACGTAAAATATACTCGACTTTGGAGCGCCTCTCCCATTATGTGCACAATTTTATTAAGCAACGACGCCAACAGTAATTTGCACTGTAAGATAAATTACAAATTTAAAAATATGTGCCCTTTAAATCTAAATTACAAAAATTACTATGGCTGGAAAAGTGCTCTTGGCTAACTTGCACCTGTCTGCCATTTCGAACACGAAATCCCGTCAAAAAGTCGGAATCCCATGTCGAAGGAGACGCCCGGGAGCGAATGCACGCGATCCCATTATCCAGAATTTGAGGTTTAAGAAAGACTGGACTCTTGATTTGCAGGTGAGGTGTCCAGCGAGAGCACGAACGCGGGAGGACCTGGACAACGTGGAGACCGAGGGGAGGCAGCCGACCTAGCAACTCACTCCGAGGCGAACGAGGCGGCAGCAGCGGCGGCGGCGGCAGCAGCGGCTGGGGTGGCTAGCAGGGTCAGCGGCATCCTGGCTGCTAACACGGTGGCGACACTCGATGCGAGGGGCGCCAGTCCCCAGGGGGCTACGCATCTCTCGGGGGCGGCGACCCCAAGACCACCCCGGGGTAGAAGGCGACTACAAAATCACAATGGTATCGACGCACCTCAGGTATTATTTATCACTTATCTAATACAAAAATATTGACCTAAAAATCTCTCCACTACTCCACTTAACACATTTGTAATCGTACAAATCTAATGCCTCTACTCTTGAATCCCAAAATCTTTTTCAACTTTTTATTATTATTCGCCCATTGAAAGCACCGAATTTTGTTATTTCACTTGCGTATTGCTATATATTCAGCCAGTAAATAGCAATTATTACGTACGTTATCGATCATTTATCATCGATCGTAACATAATTTATTGGAGTTTAAGAACACTTGTTGATAAATTTAATATGCACTCTTATTATTTAATAATATTTATAATGCTCGCTCACAAAACTATTTCATTAATAATACGCGCACGCACATATCCACGCGCATGCACAATGTAAAATTTATAGAATAAATAGAAAAACGGATAAAAAAAAATTAATAATGTTACCTTTTATATCAATATTTTAATAAATGTTTTATTTCACATTCATGATAGTACCAACCGTTTAACACTAAAACTTAAGTCTTTATATTATAAAATATTGTTAAAGTAATATAATAAATTTATACGAGAGGCCATCAAATTTCTTTTGCACAGCGTATAGGCGTACGAAGTTTATTAAACTGTCAATTTTCAGCATGATTACCATTCAAACGGTAATATATGCGCGAGATACGTTCTTAAGTACCATTTATCTTCATAAAAGATGCGAGCTTTGATAAAAGACTAAACAGCATTAGTTGTAACTTAGCGACCGTTACATGGTTGACGTTAATGCGATTGATAATAAAATTTTAATATATTTATTTTACGTGTATTTCAAAGTTAAAAAATAATTTGACCTCTTATTTTTGTATGCTATGATGATTGTGTTTGAATCGGAACTAATAAGTCCTATGTCTTTTGAACTCTAAGTCTTTTCATGAAATTTCGAAGTAAAACGCTTGTCAAAGTCCCACTACAAACTCAAAATGACAATTCATTCATTCTGTTACGTCGTTCGCATATGTTAATTTACGAGATGTGCATATATACCTGTGTGCGTATGTATTTCAATAACTATGATTCTATGCATCTATGTATCCACACGTGTGTGTGCGCGCGCTAATGTATATATGCGTTTGCTAGCTGTCGAAAGAACAAAAATAGGGAAATGACATTTTCTCGGAATTGGGATTCTCTAGGGGACGTGAAAATTTGTAAATTGAGATCTACCTAATAATTTAGCGGTTAGCATTGTATAGTGGTGGTTGATTTTGTTACTCCTTCATTGTTCAGGTGAAGTCGGAAAGACTGACTCCTGACAATAACTCTACGTCTTCGAGGAGCGTGACGCCTTCTTCCTCGGGTCATCCAGGCACGCCACCTAATGCGACGTGTCTGGGTTCCGATGGACCGGCTAGTGGACCACCATCGCATCATCTCAAGCACATGGAACAAATGATGGGCCGAAATTACAGCGACTTCATGAGGAGTCTGGCTGCCAAGTACAATAATGCCAATCCCAATGAGTGAGTACAAATTGCGACTTTACTGATTTCACCCTCTCGTTCTAATAGTACTACTCGTTATTATCACTTTAGTGATCACTTTTATATAATTCGAAGTAATCGTATTATAACTGCATTCAATGCTTAAAAAAATTAACTAATTTTTTTTCTTATCGAATCTTATCAAATGCAATACAATTTTACAGGACAACTTTTGAATTGAAATCGTTTATAAAAATACGTATAGATTAAATCAAACAAAAGCAAATAAACTTCTGAAAAAAAAGCTTTTATTTGTTTTTTTTTATTATTTTTTTTTTTTTTATAAATAAGGAAGGATTCATTGTGAAACAAATCCGTTGTGTTTTTGAAAATTAATTTCAAGTGTTTTCTAAGAGGAAAATGAAATTTAAAATAATAGTTTTTGCTTAAGTTTATATTTACATTATCACCAATAGACAAACTATTCTAATCTATTATTAAAAAAATTTTAATTAGTCTCAAAATAATACAATAGAGTTCATAAAATGCATGATATAATCATAAGTTTAATTTACCTAACTCATACAGTGTTTTTATATATTTTAATTGCAAATTCAATTGATCACAAACAATGATAACTACTAGTATTATATCACTATTTAATAAAATACAGAATTAACAATTAAAAAAAAACTCTGCTCTACGTATGCTAAAAATTACATAACAATGAGGAAATAATATATTCGACTAATATATTTATACTATATTTCAATTTACAGTATAAATTATAATATTTTAGAGACAAATCAAATTCAATTTCATTTGCATAATAGAGCATATATGCAGATTCATAAGATTGGTCAATTTTATTAAATGTAAGATTTGATTTATTTTAGAAAATAGAAAATAAACCAAATTGGCTTTTTATCGATTGTTTAAAAATGCTTACATTTAAAGTCGGTAATAGCTAATGTTAACATTAATTTTCAATTCAATATTGTAAATAGTTGAATCGTAAATGCGACAGAGGGTTATGTAATAATCATCTCTAAATTTCTAATCATCCGCCAAAAAAACTTATTTAAATGTAATTGCCAACGTTCAGTGATTTGTCCAAAATTATATTGAAAGTTTTTTCGACTATAAAATTGTCTTCGATTGTCATCTCTATATTTCCTTATTTTTGACAAGGGATTTCGTAAAAATGAATTTAATGATTTCTTGAAAATAAGAAATATCAACTGAAAATACAGATCAAAGAGAACAAAATATCCATTTAAATCTGTAGAAGCTTTTAAATACATAAATACAAGATGTTGACGAATATTAAATACATTACTTTTAAATTATTATAAAGTTATATTAGAAGTCAAAAAAAAAAAAAAAAAAAATTTGAAAATGAACCTACTTTAAAAATAAAAGCTATCTTTTTGTATTTATATTACAGTTCTATATTTAATTTTGAATAATAATCTTTGAAAAATGCTAATAATCATATTTTTCAACTTACAAGTGTTTTTTCATTATTATTATTTTTGCTATTATGCTATTATTATTATGCATCCTATTATGATTATATTTTTTATTTGTGTACATAATAATTAGCAAATATATAGCAAATATATCATTTTGCAATATTTTAATATAATTTCCGTCATATAATTTTTAATATAATTTTTAACGTTATTCAATTGTTTCAATTAATCGACATTTTTCAATCGTATGTATTTTTTAGTATTTAAATAACTCCAGAGTGGTTTGTTAAGTTTTTAACTTAAAAGCTGAGTAGTTCATTTCACTCATAGTCTTAAAGGAAATATATTTTATTCATATACATGGCTTGATAATTTCATAACTCTACTAAATCAAATAAGTTTAGTATTTATTATTATTATTATTATTATTATTATTATTATTATTATTAGTAGTAGTAGTAGTAGTAGTAGTAGTAGTAGCAGTAGTTGGTGTAGTAGTTGTAGTAGTAGTAGTATTGTTGTTATTATCTTCGTTATTGTTTATGTTAAATATTAAACATTTAATATTATTTCATCGTTCTGAGATTGACATAATGTTGAACGATTGTTCAAACAAAGAATTTTTAAAGAGTTTTTCATGGCGAATGATGCAGATTTATAGAGAACGTAAAAATAATTTACGAGACAATCCTAAATTATAGAGAAAGAATCAAAATAATAAAAAGGCGCCTAGATATATTCTTTTGGTTTCCGTATCTTAATGGTAGGATTTAAAAAGAAAAAGAAAAAACAAATTGAATTTCAAGCGAGAGTGGATCTGAGAAAGTTGTGCATTTAGCAATGATTAAGAGACGCGCTAAGTAATACAGAGCTTTGAGTAAATTGGGTTTAAGTATCGCGCACTCTGCTCAGGCCGTACAGATCCAAGTCCTGAGATGAAGCAAATAAAAGTAACGAAAGGAAACGTGCAGCTACTTCAGCGCCTCGAGGAACGGCTACTCCGCTGGTTTGGAGCCAAGGTTCTCGGGCTTCAAGAACGCGGCTACGCCGTTCGTGGGCCTGATGTCGCCACTGGGTGCGACCGGACATCAAGCGCCCCAAATATCTGCTGGGTCAGCCTCGGTCATCAGCGCCAAAGAGCCTAAGGAGCCCAAACAATCGGAGCCAAGCGCCGCCGGGACCGGGGGCCTCTTTGGCAGCCCGGCTAATCTCTTCCCGCCGATGCTCGACATGTCCTCGACGCAGGCCCTCCTCCACATGGTGCGGACGGCCAACGCTGCCCAGAGCGCAGCCGAGCTCGAAAGCTACCTCAAGGGTGCCAACAAACGCGAGGCTGGCCTAAGCAGCCCCCTGGATCTCTCCACCCCTAGGTAAGAGGGAGAAACACGAGCGATCCCCGTGCGATCCTTCTCATTTTTTATGAACTTTTTGATTATCTTACAATGCCATTCGCGTATGAACATTGTTAATATATGTTTTGTTTGATACGAGTATAAGCCTCTTCCGCATTTCTTAAGGTCGAGTATTCGATGTTAATGTCTTTAATAAGATATGCACGCGAAAATAGCAGATTCAACGTTTATTGAGACCTATTGAGAACGTAAAATCTCAATAGGTGTAGCTTCCAGCTTTTCACGAACAGTTTAATCATATTCAACTAATTTTTATTATCTTAGCTGCTTATCCATAAGCGACATATTAGCCTGTCAATTGTTTATAATATTGTGAATATATTGAATTCATTTAAATAAGATGGGAATATGTCTGTATGCTACGAACCCAGAATGACGGGGTGGTCATGGGAGAATGATTGGGGAAGGGGAGAGTCGAGCGACGAAGATGATAGGATTACAACAGGGGCAGGAATGTTATAATACAGAGGGCGGGTCGGTTTTTGTTGACAGTGGGTTCGTACCACGAAAGCGACCTCGGACCTTGGAGAGTCGCAGGCCCGGCAGCGTCTCGCCCAAGCCCAGCAAACTGCCGGTAATACCCGGCGCTCCTATTCCCAGTCCGACGGCGCCCGCAACGCCTGCGATGCCGATCACGACCGCCCGAACTCCTACGCCGGCCGCGGCTCAGACGACGACCCCGAGGCCCGGAAGTCCGCCAACCATTAGGTGTCCCTCGCTCTGCGGGCATATGCCGTGCGGTGACGGTCAGGCGGTCAATCGCTGGTCGGTCGAAGACGTTGTCACCTTTGTGTCCTCCATCGACATCTGTGCTGAGTATACACAGGTAATTCTACCTAATTTTTTGCACTTTGATCTCCATTCGGATCAACGATTTCACCAAACACAACATTTTCAGAGCACACATAAGCATTTTTAAATCCCTTTTTCGGCTATATGTTGACACTATATTATTATAAGACCTTGAAAGAATTAAGCGACAATAAGGATTTAAGATTTGAGAAATCAAACTTGATCTGCTTCAATAAACACACAACGATTCAATAAACCACAATAACGATAAACACTGCATGAACAAACTTATGAAAGGCAATGTAATCGATAAAAAGTTGCATCACGAAGAGATGAAATCTGTCTTTTCGTTTCTTTTTCCAACGACGTGATTACATTGAGCGTGGCCGTGTAATGTAACCAAGCACGTGCAGACTTTGCGAATAAATTTATTGATCACGCTTTTCTAGCTGTCGTTGTTGTTACGAGAAAAGAACGCTTATGATGGCACGTTGCTACCGGAATCGCCATAAATCTTTGGTATTTGTAGCCGAATGAAGAGAAGCCGTCGACTCTATCGGCGTGATCTTCGGATTTCTCCCAAGCACGTTCGTGCGCTGACGCGATTTAGTTCTGAAATACACAACAACTTTGTAAATAATAAGAACAATAGATATAAAATTGATTTAGTACGAGCGTTAAGAATAGTCGTATATTTTTTGAGATATCGAGCTCGCAATATGAGTTACAAAAAGTGGATCAGCAGCGTGGTAAAAGATCCACAAAAAATCTACAAACTGGAGGTCGGTTCGTTTTACCGATTGGCTCTTTGACGCGAATCTCATTCGTATCAGAGGAGGATGCAAGGATGCCGGCTGTCACTAGAGATCAACGTTACGAGAGATTATGATCAGACATTTGCTAATATTTTGGCAAGACGAACTAACGGTTCAATAATTACTCGTTCCATTCGTGTAGCCCAACAGTGCAATTTATGGAAATACAGAGGTAGACTTTCCATCGGCTCGGTCTCGCGTAACAAGTCGTGGGCCTAAAAAGTCGCCCAGACCCGACAAAGATAGACGTGCTTCGATGACAGTGGTCCGAACAAATTGCTGAAAAGTTACAACGCCCCTCTCCACACGCGCGTGTTTTGTATTCCAATTGCTCATCCTTGGATTTGAAAATTGCGCGACGTTCGATCAAGCGCA